AACTAAAATGAAAAAACGGATAACATTTAGTTTTTTTGTTTTTTTTCCCAGTTTTCGATTTTGTGTTTAAATGAGTAATGGAAAAAACAGATAACGGTCGTTTCCCGTTTCCGTGACTTAAAGTGCGATGCCGGACTTGCGTAAGGACTGAACCAGGACTAAAACAGGACTAAATCAGGTCTAAACCAGGTCTAAACCAGGTCTAAACCGGGACTGAACCAGGACTGAGAACAGGACTGAGACTGGGACCAGAACGGGACTGAGTCCAGGACTGATACCGGGACTGAGACCAGGACTGATACTGGGACTGAGACCAGGACTGAGACCAGGACTGAGACCAGGACTGAGACCAGGACTGACTTCAGGACCAGGACTGCGACTGGGACCAGACAGGGACTAAGACTGGTTTAGTCCTGGTTTAGTCCTGGTTTAGTCCTGGTTTAGACCTGGTTTAGACCTGGTTTAGACCTGGTTTAGTCTTGGTTCAGTTCTGGTTCAGTCCGTACACAGCGCAAAAGTCTGTTATCGCAGTTCAAGACATGGAAATGGGAAATGTCTGTTATCCATTTTTTCCATTATTCATTTAAACACAAAATTGAAAACTGAAAAAATAAATCGTTATCTTTTTTTTTTTTTAGTTTGGTTTTGGATACAAATAATGAAGAAAATAGTTGTTTTCTCATTTTTGGTTTTATTTTGAAAAAAACGAATGAACGGATGATACACGGATTAACTTTGGACCACTGTAAACCATATCAAATGAAGAGTTTTAAAGTATTTTTCATATTTTTAAAGGACATGCACTATGTAACATTTCTGGTTCAGGGGTCCTCTACTTGCTTGTCTCCCTGAACACTGAATTGCTTTTTTCTGGAATGTTCCACAATATGCCATTAACCCTCTCAAGCTTGCATTTATTGAATTACTGGTGTTTTAATGCTGCAGAATATATGGAACAACATAAATTTTTAACTATGTGGACTTGCTTCTCCACAGATTAGTGCTAGTCTTCCACTGTATGGCATAAGAAGTATCTATCACCATGGATACAAGCTTCTCTACACGTCACATCTGTGGAGAAGCAAGGCCACATGGTTCAAAAAGCATGTTTATGGATATATTCTGAAGCATTAAACATATACATTTCATTTATACATTTACTCAATTAGTAGTGTTTCAGTGCTGCAAAATATATTTAAATCAGAATCAAAATACAGTAGATGGTTTAAAAGAACCCTGGAAGTTGTAGACCGCGCACCAGTGAAGCCGAGCTGTGAAGCCATGACTCAAGCACCTGTTTTGGTTTCTTTTGTGGTACAGCACAACAGTAAACAAAGCGAGATGGATGTAGATGAAGTCATACATTCTGTGTTGGCAACAATTCCTGAGATCAAGGATTTAAAGCGGGAACAAAGAGAAAGTTTGGTGAATTTTATCAAGGGGAAAGACGTTATTGCCCTTCTTCCTACAACATTTGGGAAAAGCTTAATATGCTAGTTAGCGCTGTTAGCGGCGCATTACATACGTCACGACCAAATAACAGTGATCGGTTAAATACAAAAAGTACCTGCCTACCGTTGAGCGAATGAATCCTAATGTGAGGTCAGACGGTTTCCACAAAGATGAATCAGGCTAATATTCTGAAGCATTAAACATATAAACTTACTCATTTACTCAGTTACTAGAGTTTCAGTGCTGCAAAATATATTTAAACAGCATGGAATTTTAATTGTGTGGGCTTGCTTCTCCACTTATCTGCCCTGTAAACCCGCCACCTGCTATCCATAGAGAGAGATAGATTTTATGCCATACTGTGGAACACTAGCACTAACATCTCCATGGAAACGAGCAGGCCAGAAAAGAAAATGCACCTTTACGGCAAAACATAGGTGCAGAGGCTTTAATGCATACTGTACTTTGAAAAATATTCCCTTTTGTGAAATTATGACAGTACACGGTATTATCCCAGGTAACGTGTGAATGACATGAACTTAAATTGGGATTTTTTTTTTTTTTTTTTCGTGGCATACCTGGCGTCCCCTCAAGGCACACAGTTTTCTCCAGCGCACCGGGTGAAAATCAATGCCTCAGTCCACCTCATTATACAGTCTATGGTGTGCTCCCTTTTCACTTGACTCTGACCCAGTGGAGAGATGATTTAGCCCGGGATAATTTGAGTGAAGTGTCTTGCCCCGGGGCACAAAAACAATATGCCGTGCCAACAGGGTTAATCGAACCACCAACCTCTGATGTATCGCGCGCGTTCCTCTGTTCTCTCGACTCTTACCCGGCGGTGTGATGACGCGGCCTGGGATAATATGAGTGGTGTGTTGCCCAAGGATACAAAAACAGTAAGCATTGTCATCAGGGGTAATTGAACCACGAACCATTTTATATATTAGTAGTGTGTCCCTTGTTAACTTGTCTCACCCAGCAGTGTAGCCAGGGATAATTTGAGTGAAGCGTCTTGCCCGGGGACACAACAACAGAATGCACTGCCATCAGGGGTAATTGGAACCAGCAACCTTTGATATATTGTGTATGTCTTCAGTGCTTTCTTGGCTCTTACTCAGCAGTGAGATGATTTAGCCCCGTCTAATAATAATCTGAGTTAAGTTTCTTGCCCAAGGACACAGCAATAGTATGCAGTGCTAGCCAAATAATCAAACCCTCAACCTTTGATATATTGTGTGTGTTCGCTGTTCTCTTGACTCTTACCCAGCAGTGTGATGATGCAGCCCGGGATAATATGAGCCGTGTGTTGCCCAAGGACACAAAAACAGTATGCATTGTCATCAGGGGTAATTGAACCACGAACCATTTTATATATTGTTAGTGTGTCCCTTGTTAACTTGTCTCACCCAGCAGTGTAGCCCAGGATAATTTGAGTGAAGTGTCTTGCCCGGGGACACAACAACAGAATGCATTGCCATCAGGGGTAATTGGAACCAGCAACCTTTGATATAGTGTGATGATTTAGCCCAGTCTAATAATAATCTGAGTTATGTTTCTTGCCCAAGGACACAACAACAGTATGCAGCGCCAGCCAGATAATCAAACCCTCAACCTTTGATATACTGTGTGTGTGTTCCCTGTTCACAAGACTCTTACTTAGTAGTGTGACGATGCAGTCTGGGATAGTCTGAGTCAAGTGTCTTGCCCAAAGACACAACAGCAGAATGCTTTGCCAACAGGGGTAATCAAACCACCAACCTTTTGAATATACTGTGTGAGAGTTCCTTATTCTGTTCTTGTCTGTCTTGCCCAAGGACACAACAACATTATGCAATACCAAAAGGGGAAAATCAAACCACCAACCCTGACATATTGTGTATGTGTGTTTTAGTGTCTTGCTCAAGAACACAATAACAGCATGTAATTCTGGTTTGCTTAATTGAACTACCAACCTCTGACAAAGTGTGTGATCTTTTGACTCTTACCAGGTAGTGTCATCATTTAGCTCATCATGATTAGATTTAAGTGTCTTGCTCAAGGAAACAACAACAATATGCCATGCCGACAGGGCTAATCGAACCGCCAACCTCTGATATATTGTGTATGCTCTTTTGACTCTTATTCATTAGTGTGATCTTTTAGCCCATCATAAGCTGAGTTAAGTGTCTTGCTCAAGGAAACAACAATATGCAATGCCAACAGGGGTAATCGAACTACCAACCTCTGATATATTGTGTGATCTCTTGATTCTTACCCAGTAGTGTGATCATTTAGCCCATCATAATCGGATTTAAGTGTCTTGCCCAAGGAAACTCTTACAAAGTAGCGTGATGATGCAGGATAATAAGAGTAGTGTCTTGCTTAAGGACACAAAAACAGTATGTAATGCCCTCTTAGGTAATCAAACCTCTTATCTATTATATTTCGTGTGTGTGTTCTCTTGACTTTTACCCGGCAGTGTGATGACGCAGCTCAGCATAAACTAAGTTAAGTGTCTTGCTCAAGGAAACAACAACATGCAATGCCAATAGGGAAAAGTGAACCGCCAACCATTGATATATTGTGTGTTTGCGTTTTTTGTTCTCTTAAACTCTTGCCTAGTAGTGTGATGATTTAACCCATCATAATCAGAGATAAGTGTCTTGCTCAAGGAAACAACAACAACATGCAATGCCAAAGGGGTAATCCAACCACCAACCGCTTTATATACTGTGTGTGTCCTCTTGATTCTTACAAAGTAGCGTGATGATGTAGCCCAGGATAATATGAGTAGTGTCTTGCTCAAGGACACACAAACGGTATGTAATGCCAACAGGGGAAATTGAACCACCAACCTCTGATATATCGTGTGCGTTCTCTTGACTCTTACCCAGTAGTGTGATGATTTAGCCCATCATAATCAGAGTTAAGTGTCTTGCTCAAGGAAACAACAACAATATTCAATGCCAACAGGGGAAATCGAACCATCAATCTTTTATACATTATGTGTATATTGACTCTGAAGTTGAATGATGATGCAGCCCAAGACAATAACAGTAGAGTCTTGCTCAAGGACACAAAAACAGTATGCAATGCCCTCGTTGGTAATCAAACTTCTTATCTTTTATATTTTGTGTGTGTGTTCTCTTTAGTCTTACTCAGCAGTGTGAGTTAAATGTCTTGCTCAAGGAAACAACAACAACATGCAATGCCAACAGGGGTAATCGAACCGCCAACCTCTGATATATTATGTGTTTGTCTTTCTTGTTCTCTTGACTCTTGCCTAGTGGTGTGATGATGCAGCCCGGGATAATTTTGAGTAGTGTCTTGTCCAAGGACACAACAATAGTCTGCATTACCATCTGGGGTAATTGAACCACCAACCATTTTAGATAGTGTTTGCGTGTCCCTTATTAACTTGCCCCTTACCAAGCTTTGTGTTGATGCAGCCCGGGAGAATTTGAGTGAAGTGTCTTGTCCAAGGACACAATAACAGCATGCATTGTCATCAGGGGTAATCGAACCGCCAACCTTTCATATACCGTGTGTGTTGTCTGGACTCTTACCCAGCAGCGTGATGATGCAGCCCAGAATCGCCATGAGCGCTCCGGTGCTGAGGCCGGTGGCGGTGTAGGCGATGGCCCCGCAGGACAGGGCCACCCCGTCGGAATCGCACTCGCACACTCGCACGGACAGGGTGTTGGTGCTGCTCAGAGCCGGGGTCCCGCTGTCCACGATGAGCACGGGCAAACGGTACACGGGCTGCTCCCGCCTCCGGAAACCCCCGCGCTTGGTCAAGATGGACGCCGTGTTGTCTGGAGAGAAAAACAAAAAGAAGAGAGTTAATGTGTCTTGTTTTCATATAAAGTCAGAAAATTCTATAGACCAAGATTATTTATACACATGAGGAAGCTAAAGTCAAATGTGTAACTGTTTTGTTGGGAGTCCGTCACCTGCTTGTTTCTATGGAGACCTCATTGCTCTGTCTGGAATGTTCCACAGTATGACATTAAACAGCTCTACCTTACATTTATTCAATTATAGCTCAAAAATGCCTAGAAAACAAGGCATTTTGACTGTGAGCGAAGTTGCCTCTCCACAGATCTGACCTGTAACTTGGTCTGGTTTGGTTGTCATGAAGATGGAAAGGTTTAATGCCATCCAGGGTTTCCTGCAGAAAATTGGTTAGGCAAAGTGGTGCGAAGGGGGAGAAATGAGGAGGGGGGAGAGAGGTGCATAGAGATTATGTGCAATGATTGTAGTTTTGCAAGGATTCACGTGGTTTGGAGGGACGTAGTCAAGGTGGGGACCACTTGTTGTCAAGGCGACTGCCTTAACTATAAAGTGCTGCAGGAAACACTGCCACCCATCCATCCATCCATCTTCTTCCACTTATCCAGGGCCAGGACACGGGGGCAGAAGACTAAGCAGGGTCTCTCGGACTTCCTTCACTTCCTCCGGGGGGACCCCAAGGTGTTCCCAGGCCAGCCAAGAGACATAGTCCCTCCAGCGTGTCCTGGGTCTTCCCCGGGGCCTCCTTCCGGTGGGACATGCCCGGAACACCTCCCGAGGGAGGTGCCCAGAAGGCATCCAGAACAGATGCCTGAGTCACCTCACTTGGCTCCTGTTGATGTGGAGGAGCAGCGGCTCTACGCCGAGCTCCTCCCGTATGACTGAGCTCCTCACCCTATCTCTAAGGGAGCACCCAGACACCCTGTGGAGGAAACTCATTTCGGCCTCTTTATCGGTGATCTCGTCCTTTTGGTCATTACCCAAAGCTCATGAACAGCTTGACCGGTAAATTGAAAGCTTTTCCTTTCAGAATGTTTTGGTGAAGAGGGAGGTTTAATGCCATACTGTGTAATATTCCAAAGAAAACAATAACCTATAATCTTCATAGAGAAAAGCATTTGACTGACGCTCCACCAGAAAAGTTACACAGTGCACTTTTAATGTAGCTGGAATGCATATTTTTGTAAAACAGTGAGTTCTTCGGTCTAGTCCGTAGAGTGTGTATATAAATGGACATCCAAATGAGCATGGGCTCCATCAACTTGGTTGGCTCCAATTCACTTTGTATTGAAAAACCGTCACCCCTCTCTCCACTCTCTGCTGCTGTCAGACTCATCATTTTGGTTTTAAAATGCTCATATTAACCCGTTCTACATGATCCTGATAGATATGAACATTAACAGAAGACATACCTGAAGCAAGTTATATGCAATTATGTAGTAAAGATACACGTTAAATAGCTCAACTTCAAATTTATTTATTTTTTTTTCAAATCCTCAAAGTAGCCAAGCCCTGATCTTATCTCATTGAGCGTCTCGATGAAGTCTCCAGAAATGGTTTGCACTTCATAGTTGTGCCATATTTGGGTCAAGAAATGCCAAAGAGGATGTCTATTTTTAAAGTTTTAAGCAATTTTGAGATTACTTTTTGTTTACTGCATTCCTTTTGTGTTCATATAGTCGTTCATAGTTTTGATACTTTCAGTGAGAATCTACAATGTAAATAAAGAGGACCAAAAATGAAAACATGTGGCTGAACTTTTGACTGTTAGTGTATAAAAATCAGCCCAGAACCTCCAGACTAAATACACAATAAAAGCATTTCATAGTAAATTACTCGGTTTGGTATTAGCATTCCATTTCCTTTGTGCCTCACCAACCATCTTGAAATGCACCTCCTAATTGTGCTAATACTGAAAGACAGGTCTGCAGTCGCACTCACTTTCATTCGCGGTGTTTTTATTGATTGACAAAAGCATGTTTTTGGTGAGCCGGAGAGACACCCTAACTCAAAGAAGTCCCAATTAAAAACTAAATGTTACCAGAAAGAAACAATATAACAACAAAAAGTGTAACAAGCAATTACCCAAACATCGAAACTTTAAAGACCCCATTAGGAGACGACCAAGTAACAAAGCATAGATCAAAGACATCCAAAAGATAAAACTATGTTACGCTGTTGTTTTCCACCGACTACGTAACTCTACCAGTGTTGTTGGCTCGTTTAAAAACACAATTATATCACTTTTTTTTTTAAACTTTGATTTTCTTTAGTTTTCCAGCCTACATACCCACTGAACTGACTTTGCTTCACAGTTACAACAAAAAGTCTTTAAAGGTGCATTGTGTAACTTTTCTAGTGGGCGGTCTGCCATCTGCTTGTTTCCATGAAGATGTTGCTTTGTCTAAAATGTGTTTACCACTCTTGACAAAATTTCTAAACTTTTCTATGACTTTTTTATGAGCTAAAGTGAATTTTCCATGACTTTACTGCTCCTACATGTGTAGAATTGATCAAACATTTAGAGCTAAATATGAAATGTTAACCCTCTCCACTCACCTTATGGTTTGGTTTTATAGTTTTTGAACATTCAGAATCCTGTCAGTGCATTTACTGTCGTCTCTTTTAAACAAAAGTCGCAGATGTTCATAAATAATCATAATAGCCTCGTGAGAACTTAACAGAACGCTGTAGTTGCGTGAGAGAGATACTAAAATTCCATGACTTTTCTAAAACTTTAATTGAATTTACAAAATGCCATGCCTTTTCCAGACCTAGAAAATAACCTTTTCAATCTCCATGACCTTTCTATGATTTCCATGACCATGGGAACCCTGATTGGCTCAATAACATGTTTTCTTTCTTTTTTTTTTTTTTTTTTTTAAATTGACTTAAAAACTTGCATTCTTACTGTGAGTGGGCTTGCCTCTCCACAGATCTGGCATATAACTATGGTGTCAACTGCTGTCTATATAATGCATACTGTGGAACATTCCAGGCAATAGAGAAGCAGGTGATGGACCCTTTACTAAAACGTTACACAGTACACTCTAAGGTTATACTCCAATTTTTAGTAGTATTATTAAATGTATAATTAATTCATTGTTTTAGGCTAACACTGTGAATCTGCGATATCAGCCCCTCCATCCAACACTCATGCACACACGACCTTCATACTAGGCAGTGTAGGTGAAGTGTCTTGCCTATGGACACAACAACAGTGGCACCTGGTATTCCCAGTGGTCTCCCATTCGAGTACAAACCAGGCGCAGCCCTGCTTATGTTCTGAGATCAAGGAGGTTTGGCCATTAACTCCTCCATGGAGACAAGCAGGTCAAGTTACAGGTCACATCTATGGAGAGGCGACACTGCTCATAAACAGACTGTATAAAAGAAGTGGACGCAGTGAGTGTGACGTTACCCATAGTGTTCAGCTCCACTCAAATGAGGCTTGACATGTTAACAGTTACAGGAGCAAATCTGGAGCCAGGCTCTGTTATGAATAGGATTTTTTTAATGGACAAAATAGCAAAAAAAAAAAATAAAAATTCCGGATCATGTAGAGCGGGTTTAATACGAACATTTTAAGACCAAAATGACGAGGCTCACTGTAGCACTTACAGAGAAAGGAGCCACAATATTCCAATGTAAGTCAATTGGAGCCAGGGTCAGAAGGAGCCAGAAGAGCCTCCTGGCGTGTTAGCTATGTCCACTCATATATACGGTCTATGTGCTCACAGCAAGAATGCATGTTTCTATTTCTTATCAATAGAAATAATGAATAATTTAGAATTAATTTTTTCCTCTCTAATAAAAACCTATGTTTTTGTACAAAACATGATTTAGGCATTACAAAATGACCTTTCTAAGAATGCCTACACTTTACACTTTACTTATTTATTGTGCTTTTTTTTACTCTATGCTATAATGTTGTTTCCTCATCAAAACATACAGTACCTGGAGTTGTTTTGTTTCATTCACACACGTTTAATGCACATTTATGCTGAGTTCTTCCCTCTCACAGAAAACACTTTGTTCCACCTTATGATGCCATGTGGTAATACAGAAAGTGCTCCACTGTGTTTTTATACTCCATACTCCTTCATTAGAATCCTTTAGATAATTTTAGCCCTGGAATCGCCAATCTCTACTGAACTAAAGGTATAAAGGCAGCTCTTAGGGATGTAAAGATATCCAAATCTCACAGTACGATATTATCACGATATGCATCTCACAGTACGATATTTATTGCGATATTTTGAAGAGGCTAATATAACTGTAGATGCAACACTTTTTTGCTTTTAAAATACCTTGACAAGATTTTGGTGTGAATTATTTCCATGATAAAGTCAAGTAAAAAAACATACTTCTTCATGTTGTCTGAACTAAAATGAATCATGGGATATGTAGTTCCCAATGTTCATAAGCTGTTGCCACTATAAAACAATTCAGGAACTTGTAATACTGACGATACGATATCAGAATATTTCGGTTATTGTTACATCCCTTTGAAACCTGCTGCTTCGTGACGTCACAAGGTGGACCAGTGCATTTTGAGCTTTGGAGATGTAGACAGACTAATAATAAAGGATTACTCAAACACGTGAGAATGAAACAAACGCAACTCCGGGTCTGTTTTTGAGCAGGTAACAACATTACAACATGGCGTAAAACTCAGAAGAATCCATTTTGTGTAATCTAGGACCTATATTTGTATGCCTTTAAATAAAAACAAGAAAAACACAGCAGTCAAAGTACCACTTACAAGATAACACGACTGACGACAACTCACTCCCATGTATCTATTTACGTCTCGAGCTCAGTGCCATGAAAAGAACATTGCATGGCTGTCAGTTACCACAGTCTATATCACACCAATAGTCAGCGCTGATGGATACAACAGTACAGTAGGAGGCTCGGAGCTCTGACAGATGGTACCATTAACACAATTCATTATATGGAGCACACATCGCTCACTCCGAAGCACCTGTTGGCTAATAACGGCTTCGGTTTCATGTTCTCG